TTTGTCCAAAACTTCTATTAAATAAAAACCTCTTACAGGGGGAAAAAATGAAAAACCAAACTTCATTGTCTCAGAAAATCCTAATATTACAGAGACATGCTTTTGATACATTTAGCTGTGTTCTGCTTTGTATGTATTTTATTTTATTTGTTTCATATTTCATCCATGTTTTCAGTTATTAGACTAAATTTGACAATAAACAGTTTGAAATTTTTTTGCATCTTTTAGTTTTTAATATTAATTTACAATATGGTCACCCAACACTTAACAATAGCCTCTACCTCAAGAGGTAGAGCCAAATGGCTGGCTCACTGCTGCCAACTAGTGGTCAGAGGCTGAACTACAACACAAAAATGAATGGCTGGCAGGAAAGTTGACATTTTAAACCTTAATAAAAAAAATCGATACAGGGCTTTAGAATATCGATACAGTATCAGGAAATGAAATATCGCGATATTTCAGTGTATTGATATTTTCTCACACCCCTACTGTTCAACATGTTAAAACTTGGTTTTGCTGTTGTTGTTTTTTTTTTTTTTTTTTTTTTTGTTGTTTTTTTTGCTATACACCAACAACTATTTGATAGATGAACTAGAGGGTTGGAGAACGTTAGCTGCTCGCCTCCTCTCCTTTCTGTGTGGACTGGAGTTTGCATGTTCTCCCTGTGCAAATGTGTTTTTTCTGGGTATGCCAGTTTCCCCACCCCCGCAGATCAAAAACAACCATTTTTGATTAATTACGGTAAACTGACAAATCTAAAATTGCCCCTTGGTGTGGGTGAGAGTGTGAATGTTTGTCTCTATGTGTCTCTGTGATGCAACTGATATGACTGCTGGAGATAGACACCAGCTCCCAGTGACCGGAACAGGAAAACACTGATAAAGAAAATAAATGGATGGAAGGAAACTAATGGAGCTGCATGGAGAACATAAGCTCTGCTGCCAACTGCAATCCACCCTGTTGTGTTACTGTGCGAGTATCGTACAGATCCAACTGTATCTGGCTCTTGTATGTCATGTGGAGCTGTGGAAACACATCCCACACTCTTCTGCACCGCCTTGTCTGCACCTCTGCAAATTTTGACTCAAGCATAATGACATATTGAGCTCAAGTGAGCTTTGATGTGAAAGATGCAGGACTGTACTAAAACCATCAACCTGACACTTTGCTAAGTGATTGCATGTGTTGAGGAGAGAGACAGGGCTGTATTAAAAATGAAGCTGAAATGAGGAACAAGTTTTCAGCTGCACTGCAGTCCAGGATGTGGGCGTGTGAGGAGTGGGAGTTAAACAAACACAGAGCTCTGTATTAGTGAGTATGTGTGTGTGTAGTGCCGTGTGTGTGTGAACGGTGACAACACAAATCCAGACTGACAAAGCCAAGCTCCGTCCTTTGGGAGGTTCACTCATTCTAACAAACCAGATCCAGGGAGTTAACACTGTCTAACACACAATTTATCTCAGCTTTATAGCTACAGTTCACACAACAGCATGAAGACACCAGACTGTTTTACAATAACGTTTAAATACATTATAAACCATAAGAAACAACCAATAGTCACACTGCAATTGCTTAAAAGAGCTAACAGATGGCATCATCTCTAGGCATACACTGATGTGTCATCTCCATGATGAAAGACAAAGAGCATTAACAGAGGAAGTACTTGGATCAAGACGACTGAACGACTGATACAAAGAAGGTCATGTAAGGAAATGTATGAATGATGTCAATCAACTGTTGTCGATTTCTTATTCTGATATTCTGCATGATCTTGTTTTCAGTACGAGTTCATTCACATGTAAAAACCTCCAGGTAGATAAATTTCTCCAAGCCTACAACTTTACAATATAATTAAATCTCTGCTATAGGAAACCAATGTCATAGTGAGGAATGGTTGCCACTTAGCGACATGGAGGGTAAGTGTGATGTAAACAGGAAAATTACTGACAAAGTGAGTTTGTTTTCACCTTTTTCACAATATACTACACAACATCCTCCATCTCACGGAAAGTATCAGTATTGTGAGACACAGTGATCGAGTTGCTTTTCAACATTTACTGGTACCAAAAAAATAAAAATAAAAATCAATCATGTAGCTCAACAGTGCTTTATATGAGAAAAATTGTGTTGGTGACCATACCGCTAATGAAAGGATTTGAGAAAATTCTGTATGACTAGAAACTTGTTTTCAAAAGGCCTGCTTGACTAAGATTTGTCGGCCACTCGTGCTTTTGCCTCTGGAATAATTCCTGTGTTTGTTCTCTTTGGTTCTTCTGCAAGGATTCTGACTTTTTATCTGTCAGCCCTATTTGAACAGATGAAAATGGTGCAAGTTGACCATTTTGGTTTAATTAACACTGATCCCTCTGAATGTTATTTTTCTTTATAATTATCCACTGGAGCTTGTGTTCCAACATGGCGGCTAGCTATGGGAGAAATATGGTTTCATTAGAATCAGACTTTTTTTAAAGACATTTAATTTGTATCACTGAATTTCTATCCTTAGAAATGATGTATCGTGTCATGTGTGTCCTGAACTGTAATTTCATTGTGCTCTGTACAATGACAATAAGAGGTTTATCTTATCTTATCAAATGAACATACACTCACCGGCCACTTTATTAGGTACACCTGTCCAACTGCTCGTTAACACTTAATTTCTAATCAGCCAATCACATGGCGGCAACTCAGTGCATTTAGGCATGTAGACATGGTCAAGACAATCTCCTGCAGTTCAAACCGAGCATCAGTATGGGGAAGAAAGGTGATTTGAGTGCCTTTGAACGTGGCATGGTTGTTGGTGCCAGAAGGGCTGGTCTGAGTATTTCAGAAACTGCTGATCTACTGGGATTTTCACGCACAACCATCTCTAGGGTTTACAGAGAATGGTCCGAAAAAGAAAAAACATCCAGTGAGCGGCAGTCCTGTGGGCGGAAATGCCTTGTTGATGCCAGAGGTCAGAGGAGAATGGGCAGACTGGTTCAATCTGACAGAAAGGCAACAGTGACTCAAATAACCACCCGTTACAACCAAGGTAGGCAGAAGAGCATCTCTGAACGCACAGTACGTCGAACTTTGAGGCAGATGGGCTTCAGCAGCAGAAGACCACACCGGGTGCCACTCCTTTCAGCTAAGAACAGGAAACTGAGGCTACAATTTGCACAAGCTCATCGAAATTGGACAAGAGAAGATTGGAAAAATGTTGCCTGGTCTGATGAGTCTCGATTTCTGCTGTGACATTCGGATGGTAGGGTCAGAATTTGGCATCAACAACATGAAAGCATGGATCCATCCTGCCTTGTATCAACGGTTCAGGCTGGTGGTGGTGGTGGTGTCATGGTGTGGGGAATCTTTTCTTGGCACTCTTTGGGCCCCTTGGTACCAATTAAGCATCGTTGCAACACCACAGCCTACCTGAGTATTGTTGCTGACCATGTCCATCCCTTTATGACCACAATGTACCCAACATCTGATGGCTACTTTCAGCAGGATAATGCGCCATGTCATAAAGCTGGAATCATCTCAGACTGGTTTCTTGAACATGACAATGAGTTCACTGTACTCAAATGGCCTCCACAGTCACCAGATCTCAATCCAATAGAGCATCTTTGGGATGTGGTGGAATGGGAGATTCGCATCATGGATGTGCAGCCGACAAATCTGCGGCAACTGTGTGATGCCATCATGTCAATATGGACCAAAATCTCTGAGGAATGCTTCCAGCACCTTGTTGAATCTATGCCACGAAGAATTGAGGCAGTTCTGAAGGCAAAAGGGGGTCCAACCCGTTACTAGCGTGGTGTACCTAATAAAGTGGCCGGTGAGTGTAATATCATTGGCTAAAGCCACTGAACTGGATCTAGTGCTGATTGCTTTGGCTTGAGTCACCAGAAGGTCAACACATCTGCAGGTGAAATTTTAAAGTTGAATTTTTTTCCGGCAAACCTTTGCAATTGACTTTTTATCGTCAGCTTTATGTAGGTGAACTTTTTCAGGTGAATTTCTGCTGAATCTTTTTCAGGACAATTTTTCACTCGCATGTGAAAGTTTTGCTGGCGAATTTGCAGTAAATAAAAATTCACATACGTAATTGCAAAGGATAAAAATTCAGTGTTATAAATGTTTAAAAAGGCTGATTCTAATGTGACTATTTCTTCCATAGTTGACCATACAGATAGTGACATCATTGCAGAGCAGCCTATATTTTGAAGAATTGTAAATAAAGCCCACTGCCAGACTATTCATGTTAATTGTGACTTTTACACATACTTTCAACAATTCCAGTTGTTTTTTTTTATTTTTTTAATCATATTGATGTAAATAAAAACTGAAATGTTTCCTTCATATATGATCTCTTGTAGAGTGGCAAGTTGTTTCCTTCTGTGCAGTTCTATGCTTACAAGTTATAAGACAATAATAGGACTGGAGGGTATTATTATGGAGGACATAAAGCTGATGACCTCGGACAGGAAGCTGTTCCATCACCTCACAGATGAACAAAACAAAATCTTGCAGAAACACACCCAAGCTGGAAAAGGTCCAGCATCTAACGCACAAGTATCCATATTAAAGAGCTTACTGCAACTAAAGAAAATATGAAATAAGAGTAAAGAAAACACAACAATCCCACTAGGCCTGCTCTGTCTGGAGGCGAGCTAACCATACTTGAAGCAAAAACACCTCGGGCTCAAAGTGAGTCCTCGGCTGTTGTTGCGTTCATTAAAACGACTGAACCGAGGTGAAGTCATATAACTTGAAATATAAAGACAACAGACAAATGTTTGTGTGTGTGTTTTTTTTTTACTGTGCGGAAAGAAAGAAACGTGCACAACAATCCCTGTTCAGACTCCCCCGCTCAAAAAACTGGCAGCACATTAGCAAAACAGAGCTCCCCACTATAACGAAAGAGAACGGCACAGACACACAAAAACACGAGCCAAATCACACACGAAACTACCGCTAAAAAAAAGGCAATGCAGAGCGATTAAATAAGAGCTTACCCTCTCTTTATTGCTGAGGTGAAATCGAAACAAAGCTGAGCATAGACTTGTCGAAGGTTTTTCTGTTTTTGTCCCCCTCCCCTAATGATTTCGGAGTGGGTTTATCTCTCTGCGCTCGTACTAGCACCGCCCAGCCACCTTCATTCCACTTGGGTGCGGCAGAAGCTGATCTGTGGGTTGCTATTGGTCGTTATAAAACACGTGATAAAAACTGTGACGGTGATTGGTTAAAAATATATATAAGCCCGCCTATTCATGGGAAGCTTGGGTATTGGAGTTCATGTAGTTAAAAACGCATTCAAAGGAAAAGTCTCATGAAAACTATTTAGGGGCTGTTCTGAAGTGTGCTGAAATTACATTATTTGGGCTCTGCAACTCAGAAATTAATTCTTATGGGTGCAAAAATGCTCATATAATAGTCCCAGTACTTCTAACAACATACAATGATGACACATTTCAGGGTTGATTTTGTCCCCTTTTACTTTAAAACATATCTTAAAACCTGGAAGAGTGCTATTTGTCAATGAGTTTATTAAATGAAAATATTGTACAGGCACATATAAAAGGTGCATACGTTAAAAAATACTTGAATGACCATAACCAATACTTGAGCTGAGTCAACAAACGTATTGTGGTCAGAATTTACCACTAGATGGTGCTGCTTTGCTACAATTGTTGCAGAAATCAACGTTGCTATACTTTTTTATTATTATTCTAACAAACAACGGTCTTGCAGACACACAAAATTCAGCAATGTTCAGGTCTTTTTATTCAGTAAATCAGAGCAGATTAATGCCAATCCTATAATCATTCATTTGTTGCATTTTTAACCTTTAGTCAGGTGTGCAGAAAAAGTTGGTCGTTGTTTTTACTACACTGTTTCTATTTAAGGAAAGGATATTAAATTTAAAAAAAAGACTTGAATAAAAAATGTGTACCAAGCATTTGATTTAACATAAGTAGGAAAGTGTGAACAAAAGATAGGGAAGAATGAGGCAGCTAACAAAAGCCACTTTAGAGGTCACAATCTGTGATTCGCTCTAGCATAAAACAAGTTATTTATGCAATAATTGTGCATTAAACTGGTTGTGTGACTTGTCTGAGTCATGACACAAAAACAGCACAATTAGCTTTTGTTTAAATCTTTAAAACCTGTTCAAAATTTGTCGAGCTTACACGTGCAAGTCTGCACTCAGACCGTATATTTTATTTGCCACCTGCGAAGGTTGCAGCAAACTATAAATTCTATAAATTCAGGTTCCATATTTACGTTGGTTTAAAGATGTACACAACCTGTGTTCAATTCCAGGTGGGATTCCCTGAACCTATGCCAAGAATGAACCAAACGCCTTGACCTCTGACTCGTGTGGTGTTAATCTTGTTCTATACCAGTCCACACACACACACACACACACACACACACACACACAC